AACGGACGCTGTCTAAAGAATTTTGCATAGTGTGACGGCACCTTGTAAATCACTTTAAAAGCCTCTCTGGCATCCACCTGAGTATATGAGTCGACCGCATGCGCTGGAATAGGACTGTTGATGTTATTTAATAGGCCCTTCCCGAACCATACCGGAAGATGTTCTCGTACTCTTGCCGGCTCGTGCCACCAATATATTCTGCTCCACAGCTAGTTTGTCCTTGATCTCAGCATATAGTATGGCAGTAGTCGAGAACAGTACACAGGCGTTGTCTGCTGTAAGGGTGTTCTGTATAGCTTGGCCTAGGCGCCTTCTTAGAAGTTAACTTGGCGCGTTCCCTTGGAATGGAATCCTCATGAGAATTTGCTCCTTCGCTGCTGTTAATACCGAGGGCTTCGGAGGTTTTCCAGTCATGTGCTTAGCAATAAATCGACTTGTAGGAGTTTATATTGGTCATGCCCTACAAAGGAGGAGACACGGCCAACGAAACAAGCATTTTATTCGCCTGAACTTTTGGATTTTCACTTGAACTCGTTATTAGAGGTTATTTTTATTTTTCAAATGGCCTCATGCTCAGTTTGTCAATTAATTAACTGAATAGGTCAGTTCAGTACAGTTTTACTCAGGAGAACACGTGCGAAAGCGTTTAGGTTCCCTTTTAAGAACAAGGTGACCAGAAAATGTATCGATACATAAAAGATTAAAAAAAGACGTCAATCACTTGGTTGCAGGCCAAAAGCGAACAGTTGTTGGTTAACCTATACAGTAATAATACATAATCACTCAATTAGTGCAAGTAATATACTAAGTAACAAAAATATTACTACAGCTTAGTAAATAACATTACCAATAGCCGTATGGCAAAGGTTTGGGAGTGCCTGAACCCACTAGACATCAAAAACCATGGCAGACGTGCCCTGTATCTGATCGGTGTACGCCTATCTAATAAAGTATACTAAGCGTTCATGCGAGTGACGATGTTTGCCCTTTAGGGATCCTAGCTTCCCAATTGATTGGGACAGCCTTTATGCTTATTATCCAGCTACGTTCCTCACCTGGTCCATTGTTGTTGTTATTGTATTGCAGCCTACGTTGGCGTATCCTCCTCTCGTTTCGCTGTCGAAATCGCCTTCTTCTGACTGGCACTCCAATCCAGAATGCTATGCGCGAGGTATATTTATTTGCGTTATTATTATTCCTGTTCATGGCTTCACGCCTACCACAATACGCTAACCGTAATTGTGAAACGTTTTTGACTCGAAGGATTTTATGAGTTGGATTATCATGAAGCGTAATCCCACAATATGTCAGCCACGCGGTGATACCGGCTTTTTCCTCCCTGTCACCTGCATAAACCACGGCTAACAGTGAGCCTCGTAGCTCAGTGGTAGAGCGCTAGCTGCGCAAAAGCCCCTCCCCCCTGCTTTGTTGGTTCGACTCCCAGCGAGGCCGCGAAATTTTTACAATTGAGTAAACTAAGTTATTCAAATCTGCCAAACCCTCCTAATAATTAAGTGAATCTAGTAATTATTCTGGTGGATTGTAGATGATTGCTTGGGAAATCCCGCTTGTGCAGTCAGCTTGCTGTAACCTGATTGGCAGACTCCACATGTGCAGTTAGTTGGGCGGGTAAAATCGATCCAAGTGTGATTAAATTCACGGCTCACAGTGAGCATCGAAGCTTACTTGTAGAGCGTTGGCTGCGCAGAAGCCTGCCCTACTATGTGGGTTCGACTGCCACAGAGGCCGCGAATTTGTCAAAATTGGGTCAAATGAAACCATAGTCAGTTAAAAAATGACCGCATAATTCGTACGGATTTTCCTTTTGAGTTTCGATACCCTCATATATTAAAAGATATTTCGTAGAATATATGCTCAGATTACCCCGCTTATATTCACTTGGTATAGAATTACGTCCTTTTATGCGTTCCATTCCAAAACGCTCTTAATTACGAAATGTTTAAGACTGTGAGGTGTCTACGTTAAAAGCCACGCATCTGTAACTTTATTAATGCTGTTTAGGTTCCTATTAATAGCTCCATATGTCCTCTTCTTAATAAATTGGAGAAACATGTATGATTTTCCCCGCACGGACAATGTACAGTATGGAGTTTTGATACCCTAATTACACGCGCAGCCGCAAGCTGGATTCACAATTATTCTAAAATTTCACAGTTTTAAAAATCGAAACATACTCTCTGCCCGTTTCTGGTCTATAATTCAAAAGGGTTTGATCTCTAGGCATCGAAAGAACATTTTAAGCCTGTTTTCCATAGCATATACTTGAATTTATAAGGGCCTAAAATGGTATACTACTCAGTTGGCCATCTTTTTGCCAAAAATGATTTATGCAGGTGGCGGATAAGAAACTAACTGACAAGCCGACACCCTCGAATGGCTGAAATATTAAAGCTTACACTGCACACCGATCGGTAAATTCTGGCTTCGGGCTCACTGCAACAAGAGAAATCCCCAACATTCTGTAATGCGGGACCGGTATAGAGAAAATAAAAAAATACTTTAAAAGTAGAGCGAGTAAGAGTGAAAAATAATCGAAACAATAATTAAAATGGCCTAATCTTTGGAAACAAAAGGCGCGAGATAATTAAAATGAAAAACGCAATCAATAATAAACAACAACTACGCTTATTGTGGAACTGCGCCAAGAACTAAACTAAGCTAAGTTAAAGTGAACTAAAATTAAACTAATAAGGCTGAGTAATAAACTAAAGACTAAACTAGAGTAAAAACCAAAGTAATTGGAAAATAAACTGAACTAAACTAAAACTAATAGACTAAACAAAACCCCAGAACGCCAAGGATTTCCGTGTAGGGAGTGCAATGTCGGTATTATGTCTCGTACCTCTGCGGTGAGAACACCATGCTTAATGCTACTAATTGGGTAGGCTATTACGCGAAGTAAGTGTAGTGCTCCCGAAACCAGACCGTCACCCGGTTATCCTTTCGGTTCGGAAACATTTTCGAACAATTCGGTCAACATTTTGTGGGATGTGCCAGCTTCTCTCTATTGTTTCCTTTCATGCTAACACACCTTCTTTCTTCCATTGTGCAGTTGTGGGCTCTGCTGCACTTTATCATGCCGACTCTGTTCGACTCGCATGACGAGTT